CTTCTTTATATGTGAATATATGGACCAGCCAGAATCCAATCCAACTCTTGAAAAGCTAATACAAAAATGAAATATTGAAGACAAAATCAACAGACGGCAAAAGAGACAGGATAACACTTTTCTTTTTTTTCTTCCCAATAACAAAACCCCATGAATTTAAAGAACTAAAAAGCCAATCTTGACAAATTTCTCAAACACATACCTCATAGTTTTATCACAAACAATATATTTCTATGTACCCATGAAATTATAATAAAGCTACAATCTTTGTCACTAAATTTTCAAATTCACACCCAAATTAGAATAAAGTTGCAATCTTTATCACTAAATTTTAAATTCCCACCCAAAAGAAATCAAAATATGAACAACGAGAAAAAAAAAATGACTAAGATAACAAAAAAGACGGAAAACCTGCAATTTTTTTTTTCTTTCTTTCCTCGTAACCACCCAATGGCCTTCCAAATTCTATCAACGTGAACTAAAAACAACTAATAGCAAATTACAAAAACAATACAACAATTCTAAAAAAATCAATTATAACTTACCTTACCCTTCGGGAGCTATAAACTAGCTTTGAGTCCTCCAAGCTATCGAACAAAATTGATCAGAGTGTGGCTTTGAAGAAAGGCAAAACAAAAATCTTGACTAAAAAACCAAATGAAAAAAGAAAATGGCATAATTCAAATGGGCAATCTTTTTTTCCCTTATTTTGCGTTGGTGTGTGATATTGTGACTTGTGAGCAAGTGGAAGAAGGATTTGAAGAGGACAAGCATTAAGGAAAGCAAGTTTGTTTCTATTGTACTTTAGAGAATTTGAAGGGTTTATTCAAATTTCAACCCTTCTTTTTGGAGCATATAAGAAATGGGAGCCATAAAAATTAACACCATTCTTAATAAAATCTAATGATTGCTCTGTTTAGTGGGTCACCACTAACCCGTGAAAAAATGTTGTTTTTATTGAAATAATTAAACCTTTTTGAACAGGGAAAGGGGAAGGACCACTAATAATTATTTATTGTTCTTAATTTTGGATTAAAAATAAATAAATAAATAAATACTCCTGAAGTGAAACCTGATTGCGAAATGATCTGATTACATTTTGAGAAATTTGTAATCCTCATGAATGGAGCCAGCTAACGAACATTAGACTTATTAGGAGTAATCGTAGTTTTAGCATTTATAAATAGATTAGGTTTTTCTTCGGCCAAAGACACTTTTTTGCTGTCATATTAAAATCATATAATAAATATAATTTCTTGAACACGAGCAGTAGGTTTTACACATTTATGCCATTTTGCTCCATTTTGCTGGATGTGGAGAAACAATGGAAGAACTATTTATTACATTTTTCTACAATAACTTTCAAACTGTTCGAAAAAAAAAAAAAATACGATAACTTTCAAACTAAACGAACTGCTT